GGTACCTGTGGCTCAGGCTGACTTCTTCCCGCTTTTTTGGGCAGCGTGGAAGAAGACCTTCACTAAAGACCTTGTTGTACAGGCCTTCAAGTGCACTAGGATTCACCCACTAGATGCCGACGTCGTGCTCAAGAAGTTCAGAAACCTAACACTAAAGTCGCCTAGCACGACCCCAGAGCCTACTCAGCTTCAGCCTGCACCAGAATCACCTAGTTGGCGCAGGACGTCGCGGCTTCTCAAGCGTGCAAGAGAAGATAATGTACCTGGTGCTGCTAAGGCAGTTAATCAAGCCCTTCACCAACTCCACGTGCGATTAGAGATCTTAGAGGCTAGGGTTAACAGCCTAGAAGAGGCTCTAAAGGCTAATAAGAATAAGAAGAGGAAGCAGAAGGTACTACCTTTGCAACCTATTAATAGTAATAAGGGTGGTGGTGTGGTTCTCTAGAGTCCTTCACGCATTAAGCGCGCAAAGCAAGAACTCTAGGCAAAAGAGGACCTTAAGCGCGCTGCAGAGGCAGCAAAAGCTACTAAGAAGGAGCTTTAACACTAGAAGAAGATTATTTAAGCAAAGGAGAAGGAGGATAAGTGTGTAGAGCAAGAGAAGAAGAAGGTATTGACTGCTAAGGCACAGGCTGTGAAGCGCGCTCAAACTAAGGCTTGTAAAGAGGAGGTAAAGCGCAAGAGCAATGCAAAAAAAAGTACTTAATTGCCTAAATAGGCTAAGAGCAAGGCCTTATAGAAATCTTAGTTAAAAGTAACAAAGAATTGTGGTGGTAGTGCTGTGCGTAGTTAGCGGGTGCCTCACAGGTTGCCCTTACCACCACCACCTACCACGGCATCTACTGGCCGCACCACGCGTCCTCCTAGAAAACTGTGGTAGCTAAAAGTTTCGCAAAAGTCTATTTAGTAATCCACCAAATCATCTTGTAATAGCAGCGTCGTGGTGTTGCTCAATAATCTCACTTGTTTCGGGGTACAAAAAGTGATGTTGGTGCATCACGCGCCGCGGTGCACAACGAGGCCGTGCACGTTACCGGTATACCGGTATGGTAATACCGTGGCCGTGCGGCCGATGAGCCAGTTCGGCCGATGAGCCACCCCAACGAGATATTGACAATAGAAAAATGAAGCTGTAGAGCCACACCTAAAAGATGTTATTGCAAGAAATGTTGGTGTATTGCTATAACGTAACGTGCACGGCCTCGTTGTGCACCGCGGCGCGTGATGCACCAACATCACTTTTTGTACCCCAAAACAAGTGAGATTATTGAGCAACACTACAACGCTGCTATTACAAGATAATTTAGTAGATTACTAAATAGACTTTTGCAAAACTTTTAGCTACTATAGTTTTCTAGGAGGACGCGTGGTGCGGCTAGTAGATGCTGTAGTAGGTAGTAGTAGTGAGGGCAACCTATAAGGCACCCGCTAACTACACATAGCACTACTACTACAATTCTTTATTACTTTTAACTAAGATTTCTATAAGGCCTTACTCTTAGCCTGTTTAGGTAATTAAGTACTTTTTTTTATATTGCTCTTGTGCTTTGCCTCCTCTTTATAAGCCTTAGTTTAAGCGCGCTTTGCAGCCTATGCCTTAGTAGTTAATACCTTCTTCTTCTCTTGCTCTACATGCTTATCCTCCTTCTCCTTTACTTAAATAATCTTCTTCTAGTATTAAAGCTCCTTCTTAGTAGCTTTTGCTGCCTCTACAGCGCGCTTAAGGTCCTCTTTTACCTAGAGTTCTTACTTTACGCACTTAATGTGTGAAGGACTCTAGAGAACTATACTACTACCCTTATTACTATTAATAGGTTGTAAAGGTAGTACCTTCTACTTCCTCTTCTTATTCTTATTAGCCTTTAGAGCCTCTTCTAGGCTGTTAACCCTAGCCTCTAAGATCTCTAATTGCACATAGAGTTAGTAAAGGGCTTAATTAACTGCCTTAGTAGCACTAGGTACATTATCTTCTCTTGCACGCTTAAGAAGCTGCGACGTCTTGCGCCAACTAGGTAATTCTAGTGCAGGCTAAAGCTGAGTAGGCTCTAGGGTTGTGCTAGGTAACTTTAGTGTTAGGTTTCTAAACTTCTTAAGCACAACGTTGGCATCTAGTAGGTGAATCCTAGTGCACTTAAAGGCCTGTACAACAAGGTCTTTAGTGAAGGTCTTCTTCCACGCTGCCCAAAAAAGCGGGAAGAAGTCAGCCTGAGCCACAGGTACCCACCCCTCAGTGGTGTGGCCGCGATGAAGGAGCTCATCAGAGTAGTGCTGCGCCAACGGCCTGTAGCACGCCACATCAAGCGGCTGAAGCGCGTGAGTAGCATGCGGAGGGAATATAAGTAGCAGAATCTTGTTGGCATGAGCGTATTCAATAAAGGCCTGCGTGACGTGGCTGCTGTGGCCATCAAGGATCAAGAGTCTGTACTTCCCTCGCGCCCTCACTCTTGTATAGCAATCAAACACTTGCTTGAGCCAGGCAACACTAAGAGCATTGTTCGTCTAGCCATTTACTAAGGTACTAAAGTGTATATTATGTTTTTTAGCCTTAACGCGCTGCACCTAGCTCTCTTGTATCTAGAGAGACAATAAAGGATAAATAACTACAGGCAGTAATGTAAAACTATTAGCTCCTACTGCTCCTACTACTGTTACCTACTTCCTGTTGCTATTATAAGATGCTAGCTTATATTTCTAGAGTCTAAAGAGCTACTTATTAAAGATTCTAACGCCCTTACTTATTACTCTAATTATAAATCCCTTCTTATCTATATTGTACGTGTTCTCTAGCTGTATTAAATGCTGCTTAATAGTACTGTGTAGCAGATTAAAGTATAAGCGAAATAAATTATATAAAGCAGCGTTGTAGCGCTGCTTTTCTATAGGCGCGCTCTAGGCTGTAAGAAGGTTGTTAGGGTAGCAATAAAGGAAGCGCGTGACCTATTAATTAGAGGGCTCCTACTTACACAACAACTTAATTATTCTAACAAGAATCTTTGTTATAGGCATAAGGTGTCTCTCTATAAGTAATTTAATGTACTACACAACCTCTACTTTATTATGTAGGTAGAGAACTATCTAGTATTCTGCCTTAGCTTTACGCAACGCGCATTTACCCTTATGCCTGCAGATTAATATTATGTAACAATAACTGTGTTTTTTAGCAAGCTTTCTATATAAAAAGTCTTTAGTAGGGCCTAAAGTATTTAGCTCTGCAAGGGCTTCTTCTAGCGGCATCGTGGTGTTGAGTTATAGGGGGTTACAAAGTACGCGTCAATGTTGATGTTGGTGCATTACGCGCCGCGGTGCACAACGAGGCCGTGCACGCTACCTCACGGGCGAGTGGCCGGCCCGGGCGAGTGACCGGATTTTGCCAAGACCACACCAAACTTCAACTTCTCTTGCATATTACAGCAAGTTACTGCAAGTTACTGTAACTTACAGTATACAGCACTAATCTACAGTATCTTGCGCATCTTTTATGCACATTCGCGCGTTGTGCCCTGCCTTACTACACCTGCTACAGCGTTGTAAAGACTGAGTGCCTAGTTCAACGCACCTCTTGTTGCTTGCCTTCTTCCTATCACTACGGGCTTTAAACTCCTTTAGGGTAGTTAAGCGCACTCCTTCACTAACAGTGAGAGTCCCCTCCCTCTAGATCTGCTTCCTCTTGTGTGATTTACGGCGTGTGGCGGCCTCATTGGCAGCTTGAAGCTCTGCGACCTGGTTAGGGTTGATACCCTAGATGATGCTGGTCTACTCTTGGTCGCCCTGCTATACTGTATTTAGTCTTCTACGACGCTCTAAGCCTGTAACAACAGCTCCTGTTAATATAACACTTATTATAAACCTAGACTTGTTAAAATTGTAGGTGTCTTTGTCTAGGATACTATACTTAGCTTTAATATTCTCTACTAGGTAGAACTAGCCCTAGATTACCTTAGGATCCTTACAGAGGGCTCTCTTGTAGTTGTACTTTTAATTAAACTTAACTATAAGCTCTAGGCAACACTTAATAAACATGCTAGCCTAGTTCTTGCTAATAGGAGGCTAGTGGCGCTTAGTAAGTAGAGAGTTAGCTATATCCTCTACATTAGTAAGCTAGGGTAGGTATCCTTACTTGTCTAGCTTTAGAACATGCTGCACAATTACCTCCTCTTTAGTGCTTGTTAGCTTTATTAAGTTAACCTTATAATTACGTCTTAAGAGCATTCTAGCATATTATTATCTTAGTGTTCTTTCTAACACCTTATAGATTATTATAGTATATAGAATAGTAAGAGTTATGTCTTATTTAAGAGCCTAAATAGCAAGCTATATATCTAGTTCCTTTAAGACATATTAAGCCTTTTTGCGTTAAGACATCACAGGTTGTATGAAGTTTGGTGTGGTCTTGGCAAAATCCGGTCACTCGCCCGGGCTGGCCACTCGCCCGTGAGGTACGTTATAGAGCCTTGCGCTTCAATTGTGCTATTTATATTTGGCTAGTAACTACAAGTTGCGGCCTCTTGCAGTGATTTTGGGTGGGGGAGACGCAGCTGGCAGTGCAGCGTCAACACAACTTTAAGCAGCTACAACACAACAATGCTTTGTTAGATTTTTTGCAGCACTGTGTAACGTACCTCATGGGCGAGTGGCCGGCCCAGGAGAGTGACCGGATTTTGCCAAGACCACACCAAACTTCATACAACATGTGATGTCTTAACGCAAAAAGGCTTAAAGTGTCTTAAAGGAACTAGATATATAGCTTATAATCTAGGCTCTTAAACAAGACGCGACTCTTACCATTCTACATACTATAATAATCTATAAAATATTAGAAAGAATACTAAGATAATAATAACGTACTCTATCACCAAGCTAGTTATATCACTAAACTAGTCAAAATCTCTTAGCGCGCCCAACTTATGTTGTGGTAACTTGAATTACTTGCTATTAAACAGTAATCTAGTGTACTGTGTGCTTTTATTAGATTTAGAATCTTCTTCTGTATCTTTCTAACACGTTTAAGCGTTGTGCCCTGTGCCTCCACAGTTTCCACAGCGCTGTTAGGCTAACTGGGTCCTTTCTTAAGTACCTGCACCACAAGTCTTCTTTAATAGCTAAGCTGCTACAGACACCTTAGCAGCTACCTATGATGCTGCTGGGCCATACTTAAGTGTGCTGCTATGCTGAATTTGCTTTCGCTTGCGCGACTTTCTCCTAGTTATAACTGCTAATTGCTCTTCAAGCTTAGTAATGCGAGCAGCTTACAGCGCGTTTTAGTGCAGTATTAATTTACTACCTTTAATAAGCTAAGAGAAGCTAGCCTAGGCTGTGACTAGTAACTAAGTAAAGGAGTTATGTACAAGCTTTGACTAAGACCTAAACTTATGTATATTGCTTAGAGTCCTTAACTGCCACAGTGTCTCTAGTAGAGGGGGTGCTAGTAGGGTACAGTGTCGCACCTTAAGGCGATCTAACACTACCTGCGCGTTAGTAGGGACTAGCCCTAATGCCTTAAAGGCCTTCTAACAGTTAGCCTTTGTAAACACGTTAAGAAACGCGTCTCTAAAGGCTAGAAGGAAGCCTTCCTTGTTAATGTGGAAGACGCGTTGGCGTGCCAAGTCCTGGACGCGTTGGGAGTACTTGCGCTTTAACAGCAAGAAACAGACCACGTCAAGCGGCTAGAGGATGTGTGACAAGTGAGCTGGCATACAGAGAGTAAGGATCTTGTTATCTAGGCAATAGTCCTTAAAATCCTAGTTAAGGTAGCTCTTATGGCCGTCTAAGATAAGTAGCCTAAATCCCCCTACCTAACGCGCTCTTGTATGCGCGTCAAAATGCTTTAACCACTTAAGGCCAAGCGCGTTGTTTGTCCAGCCGTTCTTAGAGACAGAGAGCTTCTAATTGTGTGGTATATCTGTCTCCTTGTACTAGGCAGAGATGTGGATGCGTCCTTTGTAGATGATGAAAGGTAGGGTCGCATATCCAGCAGCGCAGATGCTCTGTATAACTGTAACCCACTCCTGATTGCCTGGCTGAACAAGCTCAGGTCGAGCGCGTCTCTCAGCGCCTGTGACAACCTTCATTAACCCTATCACGCCTATCTAGAACCTAGTCTTATTAAAGTTGTACACGTTATTATTGTAGATGCTATACTTAGCCTTAGTACCCTCTACTAGCATAAACTACGTGTTAATTACCTTAGGATCTTCCTGCAGTATCCTCTGTCTATCCTTTACTTAGTTAAATGCTATCTTAAGCTAATCTAAACGCGTTACAAATCTTATAGCCTAGAGTTTACTAACAGGCTCCCTACCACGCACACCTAATAGTTTATTAGCTATATCTGCCACCTTACACAGCTAAGGCGCAAATCCTTGCGAATTGAGGTCAAGGATATATTAGACAATCGTCTGCTCTTTAGTTGCAGTAAGCTTCTAGCAGTTTGCGCATACGTTGAGTTAAAATAGAGTATTGCTAGCGCGTTTAGAGAGCCTGCGTTGGTTAACGTTGAATGCAGCAGCAGCAGCCCGATGGCTCTGAAACTGTCTGGTATTGTAGGCCTGGAGAGCAAGCTGCAGTCTCCCTTCGTGTTGAGACATACTGTGAAGTGCGGAGTTGTGTTAGTCTTGGCAGATTTTGACCAGTTCAGTGATATGACCAGCTCGGTGATAGAGTACGTTATACTAGAATACTCTTAAGATATAATTATAAGGTTAACTTAATAAAGCTAACAAGCACTAAAGAGGAGGTAATTATGCAGCATATTCTAAAGCTAGACAAGCAAGGATACCTACCCTAGCTTACTAATGTAGAGGATATAGCTAACTCTCTACTTACTAAGCGCCACTAGCCTCCTATTAGCAAGAACTAGGCTAGC